GACACAGAAAGGGTGTCAAAAAAATGCAAGTATGATGAGAGCTACATTGAACTTGGATTTACATGGACTGGGGATGCTGGATATCCTCAGCCGCAGTGTGTCCTATGCGGTGAAGTTTTACCAAACAACAGTCTTAAACCGTCCCTTCTTCGCCAGCATCTAGAGACTGAACACAATCAATTTAAAGACAAACCGGCTCAGTTTTTCAATCGCAAACTGGAAGAGCTAAAAAGCAGTAAAAAAATTCTGCCATCGAATTCTTGCATGGAATATGTAAATGCACTTCGAGCTTCATATTTCATGAGTTACAGAGTGGCTAAAACAGGAGAACCACACACTATTACAGAAGATTTCCTTATACCTGCTATGAAGGCCGTGGTGAAGTGCATGCTCGGTGAAAAAGCAGAAGAAAAACTTGATTCCATACCCCTCTCCAATGACACTGTGTCACGCTGCATTGCCGATATGGCTGAAAATGTTCTTTCTCAGCTTGTGAATCGCGTTAGAAACAGTGACTATTATTCTTTGCAATTAGACAAGTCCACGGATTTAGACAGCCTAGCTAAGCTTTTGGTTTATGTTCGTTATATGTATGAAAGTACCATACATGAAGACTTTCTCTTTTGTCATTCCCTTTCTACCCAAACAACAGAAGAAGAGATTTTTTTGCTGCTTGATAACTTCATGAGTGAGAATAGAATTGACTGGTCTCGCTGTGTAGGGATTTCTACTGATGGGGCAAAATCGATGATGGGAAAGCACAGTGGAGTTGTGGTTCGCATCAAGGCCGTAGCAACAGAAGCCACATGGGTGTACTGCAGCATCGATAGAGAGGCCCTAGCTTCCCAAAAAATGCCTGAAAACTTAATGTCAGTGTTGTCTGATGCTGTCAAAATGGTTAACTTCATTACGGGTCAGTGTCAAAATTCAAGAATTTTTGCTACACTGTGTGATGAAATGGGAAATGACCATTTGCCGCTACTAATGCACACAGAGGTTCGCTGGCTGTCGCGTGGCAAAGTGCTGACACGACTCTTTGAGCTGCACAGTGAGCTTCAAGTTTTTTTCACTGACCACCTCCCCTTTGCACAGTCGTCTTGCTTGGAAGATACTGCCTGGCTTCAGCGATTAGCCTACTTGGCAGACATTTTTTCTTGCCTCAACGAGCTCAGTTTAGGCCTTCAAGGCTTAAGCACCACTATTTTCAAAACACAAGACAAAATCGAATCCATGATTAAGAAACTACTATTTTGGGATAGCTGCTTAAAGAGAAATGAGATTGACTCCTTTCCAACATTGCAAGAGTTTCTTGCAGCAAATGACAATATGGTGTTACATGAGTGTGTGAAAGCTGACATTATGGAGCATTTGCAACAACTTAGCAAACAACTTAGAAAATATTTCCCCAAAATGGACAATGCAAATTCCTGGATACGCAATCCATTTAAAGTGCCTTAGTCTCTCCCAATCCCTCCTCTGCCAGTGCGTGAGCAGGAGAAACTTTTAGATCTCTCTTGTGACAGTGGGCTTAAATTAGAGTTCGAATGCAAACCTTTGGCAGACTTCTGGGTGCAAAGGATGGAAGATTACCCATACCTGTCAAAACTAGCTGTCAAGTTTCTGATGCCCTTCTCCACAACATACCTTTGTGAGACTGGATTCTCTGCTCTCATGGCGATGGAGACAGAGTACCCTCAGAGATTAAATGCTGAAAATGACTTGCGACTGAAGCTCTCTCCAATTTTCCCTGCCATCAGTGATTTGTGTGATAAAAAGCAAGGACATCCATCACACTGATAGGTAAGCATTATATATATATTTTTTGTTAACATCAATAAGTACTGTACATTAGTCACCAAGAATTTTAAAATGCCAATAATATATTTTTGTATTATCGAGGTCAGCTGTAGAAATGTATGGATAGTGAACTTTGCTTCCTTTTCTGTATTTTTTATCATCAACAAAAATACATGATTGGCATTTTTAAATGCTTAGTCACGAACAGGCTATGTCTGAGTGATTGAGACCAGCGTGGAGGCTTCATTAATTTGAATTGATTACAATAAAATGACCATGAAAGCTTCTAATTTAATGTTTAGAACAACTAGAAACTTGTTTGAGGGACTACTTTTATCCAAAGTGAAGGTATATATGATATAATAATAATTGTAACGAACAATTTTATCCAGGACAACATACTCCAGGGCTTGTGCATTTTTGCATCATGTTATCCCTTACAGACTTTTTTTCTGTTTTCATAGGTATATTATGCCCCTATCTCAGATGGGGGTATGTGATAGACTGCATTATTTGGAAAGGGGTACACAGCCGAGAACATTTATAAACCACTGCTCTAGGGTATTCACGGACTAGCTAGTTGGGACTCAGGGAGCCTAGGGCAGGTCTGGTGTGGGCACAACCCCCTCTTCCCCCAGTCCGCCCCCTTGCCTAGCCCTGCCCCCTCTGCTCATCCATCCTGCCTCCCCACCCACACCTCTTCTCCTATCTGCCCTGCCCCCTGCTCCTATCCGCCTCTCCCCTAGAATGATCTAGGAGGTAGTGGGGATAAAGTAACTTTAGGGATAGTCTGTGCAGTTTTTATTTGCAAATATAGTGCTTGGTCTCATGTATGCAAATTATACCAATTAAATATGCAAAATATTTCATTTGCATAGAAATTCTAGCTTTCTGTCCATTCAACCTTAACAGGTTTTAGGTGGCTTCTGAGTGGCCTGAGTGCTTGAGCCATCTGCCCCTCTTCCCCCCCATCTCATTCACCTCTCCACACCTTTTGCCCTTGCCCTCTCCATGTCCAATCCCTAATCTCATTCCATGCCCAAGCCATTCTTCTCTGGGGCTGCTGGAGCCTGTGAATGTATTATTCTTTTTTCAGTGCCTGAGAGAGCCAGAAATGCTGGCTGCAAGAGCTATGGACAAAGAGGGCTGGGCTGGGGTGTGCTGTCACTGCAGTCTGTACGCACACCTATAGAAACACTTGGACGCACATACATGAGGGCATACTGTACGGGTTTGAATTTATTATAATTGTTTATAAAATAGGCTGGGGTTTTTCTTTCTCCTCATTCCTCTACATGCTGAGCAAATTCCTCTTCAACAGGCGGAATAGATCCCTTGGGACCCAAAAGGGTTTTCCCAAGTTCTGGTTTCCCTTATAAAAATAGGCAATGCCTACCTGAGAAGGGGGAACCTTTGAGCAGCCCCCTCAGGTGTTGGGACTGGAGCAGCTGCACTCGGCTTCAAAAAAGTAAACTGCGCAGGAAGAAGTTGCTGATCTAGAGAGAAACAACTCCACTCATGGATTGGAAGAGTTTCAGACTCTATGTGGTTCTGGTCATGATTTGGTTTTAGTTCTGTGTGAACAGTAGAGCTGGGCACTTTTTTTTTCTTTTCAATGTACTGTTTTTTCACCACAAAATGCATTTTTGGGGGGTCCAAAACTATTTGCTGAATTCAGCGAACAGTTTTGGCTGGTTTAAAAAATTTCAAAAGTCAAAATGTTTTTTTTTTTTTTTTTTAATTGAACACCCAAAAAGCCACAGGACTTCTTCTGAAGCGAATTTCCCCGGGTGCTGACTCCGAGAACAAACTGATCTCTTTGCCCAGAAAAGGATTTTCTTTACCAACAAGGTGTTTCCTGGCGCTTGCAAGTAGGGTGCTAGAGATGAGCCCTGTATCACTGTTGCTAGTACATGGAGTACATTGCTGCAGCCTGTGAACTCCGTACTCCTCTGCAAACTATGCAGTTTACCCAGTAAGACATCAATAAAAAAACAACCAAAAAAATGAGAACAGATGACCAAGAGGGAAACCTGGGCCCATGCCTAACTCAGCACTTGGGCTGGTACGCCATTAGCCTAGGTTTGTTGTCTTCTGTTCTACACTTCGGTCCAGCTTGGGACCATCTGTTCTGCACATGGTACATGCCCACCATGGGTCGTGTCCTGGCTGACATCAGCATAGCGGGCAGAGAGGTGAGCAAACCAAGTGCAACACCTTGTAAACTGCCCCAAGTCCCACTGTGAGGACACCTGCTAGTGGGTCATTTGATTTGCTCTAGCTCAGATGGGTGGAAGGTGTAAGGAACTGGTGTGGGAAGCTCTGTCTCTGCTACCCCTGGGATGGCTAGCTCCAGTCACTAACTCTGTCCGACTCAGTCTCTGCCTCGGTCTGCTCTCCATGCTGTCAGGCGAGGCTGATTCTCCGTTGCTGAACCAAGCCTGAGCAGAGGAACTATTTACAGAGTTCAGCGGTAGGGCTCGGCGTCCCCTGAAAGAAGATGAAACAGTGTGACGAGATGAGGATAGTAGAGGGCAGGGAACATTTTCCATCATGTGTCTGCTTTCCAGTCTTTACTCGCTCTTCTCAGGTCTGCTGCTTTATAAAGCTGCCTGTTTTGTCTGACCTGGGAATTTGCTGCGGAGAGCAGCAGCAAATCATCACTGCCCAGGATGGATGATGTCTTGCCAAGCCACAACATTCAGCAGAGAGCTCTCACCCCAGCAAGAGGGTAATGCACAGGAAGATTTGGCTTTTAGATGTGCGGAGCACCCACAAACCCTGTTGAAGTCAATGGGCGCTGCGGGTGCTCAGCACCTCTGCAAATCAGGCCCTCTGTGGTTTGTGGGATTGGCTAATAAGTGAGTGTTCATAACCACTGGGTGCAGAGCTAGTGCTGGAGTGTGCAAACTGCAGTCAACGCTGCAGGCACGTGTGGTAGCCCCTGGTTCCGCTAGTGAGCAGCTCTGACAACAGCATCCCCTCTGTCTCCTGAGAGAAGTGGCTGCCCACCATCCCTCCTCTGACTTCTAGGGGGCAGCAGCTCCCCTCCAATGCTGCACTAAGTTCCACCAAATAGGGTACAGCACCACAAAGATATAAAGATATTAATTTACTCACCTTGTCTCTCTAATATCCTAGGACCTACACAGCTACAATACACTGCATACAAGGAGGAGGAGCAGGCAAAGATTGGGAAGAAGAGACAGAAGATGGAGAGAGTAGGAGAGCTGGGTTGGGGTGAAGGGAAGCTGGAGACAGTAGGGGGTGAAGGAGGAAGGGGAATTAACTAGTGCAGACCAGCATGTCCATGTAGTTATGGAGGTGTGCAGTGACTGAGGCTGCAGAAGATCTTGTGGAGGGACTGGCCTCCCTGAGGCAGTTCACACATCCTGACCAGCTCTGCCTCTGCCTGTTTGTCTCGCCCACTTTATTGCTACTTCCCACCTGGAGACCCAGGCTGATGATAGTGACTAAGACTGAAGATTGCAATTCCTACTCCAGGGGAAGGAGACATTCCAAGATTAAAGGAAAGTCAGAATAGGAACCAGGACCTAGCAGTGATCAAACCAGTTTCTAAATGAACCCAAAGCACATCTCTGAAAGTCTCTTCCTTATCCCTGCATTTAGCTGGGAGCTGCATTCCCAGAATTGTGTTCTGCAAAATGGTGGCCTCCTAAGCCACTTCATTATTTTGTTAATTGTCATTGACAGTTTAATAACTTCTGAAGTTATTTCAGCTTCCTAGCGACTGGATGCCATGACTAGAATCCCCTTGTGCGCTAGTTTCCCTGCGTTATGGAGTCTTACCCTTTGAAGAGGAAGCTGCAGGTGATCAGTATGTCAAACAGGAGGAACTTCAGCAACAACGCTCTGATAGCCAAGAGAAGCAGGATTTGTGAACAGACGGGCAGAGCTGAAACAGATGGGATCATGTACCTGATCAGGCCCTGGAGTGCCACGCAGAAGAATTACCAATGGTCCCTATTGGGACTGTGTATGGCTGCACTGCCCAACCTTATACACAAGAGGGTCACATAAACCTAAGCACAACCTTGTGTGTGCCAAACAGCTTCTACATATTTTAATAAGATTTAAAGTAACCTGTATTGATTTACATTTTAAGTTCTCTTGTTTCATATGTATTTAGATAGTTGTTTCTATGTACGGTATTGTCTGTTTACACTCTTGTGTAAACTAAAAAGCTGTAAACATGATGCCAAAACGCTAATAAAGCGGCCGTTAGTATATTGTGTTGAAGCAGGCCACGGGCCATATGAAATGCTCTGGTGGGCTGGAGGTTGGGCACCCCTGGTCTAAGCAATAGGAGTCAGTCTGAAAGACCTAATTCACCCCTCTAGAATGCAGGTACTTAGTGTAGCATATTCATTGCTTTCATCAGTGTAGTTATAATGAAATATTACCGCTATTGTACTTCTACCCCTCCTATGTCCAACAGTACGAGAACCATTGGCCTAGAGGAAGCAGCTCTGGGCTGGGCACTTGGAACTCTGGTGACTTGTCAGCTCTGCTACCCACTCACTGTGTGACCTTGGGCAAGTCACAGAATCGTAAAAGTGTAGGACTGGAAGGGACCTCAGTAGGTCAGCTAGTCCAGTCCCCTGCACTCAAGGCAGGACTCATAATAACTGGACCATTCCTTACAGTTGTTTGTCTAACCTGTTCTTAAAAACCTCCAATGATGGAGATTCCACAACCTCCCTAGGCAGTTTTGTTCCAGTGCTTAACTACCCTGATAGGAAGTTATTCCTAATGTCCAGCCTAAAGCTCCCTTGCTGCAATTTAAGCCTATTGCTTCTTGTCCTATCCTCAGAGGTTAAGGAGAACAATGTATCACCCTCCTCCTTGTAGCAACCTTTTATGTATTTGAAAACTGTTCCCCCCCACCCCATCTTTTCTTTTCCAGACTAAACAAACCCAGTTTTTTCAGTCTTCCTTCATAGGTCATGTTTTCTAGACCTTTCTTCATTTTTGGGTCTTCTCTTCTGGACTTTCTTCAATTTGTTCGCATCTTTCCTGAAATATGGCACCCAGAACTGGACACAGTACTCCAGCCAAGGCCTAAATCTGCCTGGACTAGAGTGGAAGAATTACTTCTTGTGGTTTGCTTTTTTTGCAACAGTGTTACACTGTTGACCCGTAGTTAGCTTGTGACCCACTGTGACCACCAGATACCTTTCCACAGTACTCCTTCCTAGGCAGTCATTTAGTATGTGCAATTCATTGTTTCTTCCTAAGTGGAGTACTTACTTCAGACCATTTCTCCAGTTTGTCCAGATCATTTGGAATTTTAATCTTATCCTCCAAAGCACTTGCAACCCCTCCCAGCTTGGTATCGTCCGCAAACTTTATAAGTGTCCTCTCTGTGCCATTAGCTAAATCATTTGTTGCTGATCCTGTGCCTCAATTTCCTCTTCTGTAAAATGGTAGATGTGGCTTCATCTTGGATTTCACTGTCTCTTTTCACCCCCACATCCAAGCTGTGCCTAAATCTTCCCACTTCTTCCTGTACAACATCCCCAAGATCTGTCCTTCCCTCTCTGCCCACACAGCTGAAACTGTTGTCTGAGCCTTGATCATCTCATGCATTGACCACTGCCCTTTCCTCCTCCTCTGTGGCCTCAATGCCTGCCCCCCTCTTTCTCAAATCCATTCAAAATGCAGCTGCCAAGATCATCTTCCACGCTCTGACTACCTCACTCCCCTTTTAAAGTCCATCCACTGGCTCACCTTCTCCTATCACAAACACATACTTCTTGTCCGTACTTCCAAAACCCTCCACAAATTAGCCCTCCCCACCTATCCAGCCTGCTACATTATGCAAAGTCAATTCTCCCCTTCATTCCACCAGTGCCAGCCTCGATCGCCCACATCTCTGACAAGCATTCTCACAATCTGTCCTACGCTGCCTCTTAGCAGGGGGAAAAGCTCCCAGTTGAAATCCATAAAGCCACCACTTTAACCTCTTTCATGTCCCTTCCCCAGACTCACTTCTGCCATGATGTACATCACAAACTACACCGTGATAATGGCTGGGCAGGTGGAGTGCTGGGATCACTGCTAAGAATCTCACACCTCCTATTCCATTTGTTATCCTGTCCCCTCACCCCACCCACCTGTTTATGTCTGTGCAATAGGCAGAGGAGATAGAGTTTAAGGCCAAAAGGAGCCACCAGAATTCTAGCCTGACTGCCTGTAGATCACAGGCCATTAACCACACCCAGCACCTGCAGGTTAAACCCAACAACCGAAATTAGACCAAAGTATTACAGCTCACAGGAGACTAGACTATTTTGAGGGACTGGCGTGCCCCAGTGCCCTGCAATAGCAAGGAAATGGATTAAGTGAGATATTCCCAGATGATCCTGGCAAGCTACACTGTATAGGTGATAAGTGTTTATGGAGTTGTTCCTTTCTTGACACTAGGGCCAGGACAGCATCACTGGAAGTCTGTATTGTTCACAGGTAATATTGGAGGATCTCTCTCCAGCCCTTGCACTGAACGGCATCTCAAAGTAAAATGTGGGTTTAGCATCCCAGTTATTCTTGTTTTGTGGCACTTTATAGTCTCAGGGACCACATCCATAAATGGTTTTCCCATCCTGCAAATAGTTCTGAGAGTTAAATTTTTTTTCCTGTCCTGAATCAGGACAAAAAGTCAATCTAAAATATTCACAAACCAAAACATTTTCAGTTCAGATCAATTGAGACATTTTGTTGCAATAATTTCAAAACATTTCCTTTCGATTTCAACCTTTTTCCTTGACTTTTTTCCCCAGTTAACTTAAATTTTAAAATGAAAAGCTGTTTCAAACCAGACAACCAACATTTAGTGTTTAGAAAACATCAGAACACAATGTTTTGCCAACTTCAAAACTTTTTTTTCAAAAATGTTTCAGGTCAGGAGATTTGTGAAAACCGCCCCTGGTCTGCAAGTGATTTTAATTTTGAGGAATCTACATTTTTAGATGAAATAATGTTTCATTGCAAAATTCCTGACCTGCTCTATTGGGGAGCTGACTTCTCAACTCTGAGATCAACTGCCCTTCCTGACCAGGTCAGATTCAGAAGAGCCAGCTGTGTGGCAATAGGGAGATCCGACATGCATGCCTGCTGCTGCCAGTGCAGATCCAGGGTTGCATAGCAGAAAGGCTCTAAGAGCAATTCTGCTGACAGCTTCTTTCTTTGGCAAGGGTTGGTCAATTCACAACCTGCATCTTTCATCCAGCGACTAAAGCTCTTGGAAACAGTGGGCAAAATACTGCTTTCATTTACACTGCTGCAAATCTAGACTAACTTTATTACTCCAGACTTGGACCTGTGTAAGTGAGGCCAGAATTTATCCCCAGTTCTTCAGATGTTCATTTTCAGAAAAGGCTTAAACTGGAGGTGGTGTCCACACACCTCTTTCCACATCCCTTCTGTTTCCATCAGAGAATCAGCTGGATTCAAACAGGCAGTGTGAATGTGCTGGGAGGAATGCACAGTTATTGCTTACCACTTCGGTCTTCATCCAGACATTGCTCTTCCACGTGGTCTTCTACAAGACAGAGTTGTAACTATTAGTAAGAGGAATTATACTAATTGTAATAGTACCGACTGCATGGTTAAAGCTCAGAACGGTTCCCAACCCAACCTCCTGCTTACACCGTTCTCGTCACTTTCCAGTTCATTCACCTTTTGGGTTGACATCTTTCTTGCTCAAAGGGGTGGAGTTTTGGAAAGCCTGAGTGCATTCTCTTGAGGGTTTTCTGAGATAATTATGTATAATATATACTTTTCCTGCTTTAAAACAAGCTACTCCCTCATCCCCTTTTTTGCACAGATAATGCAAACAACTCAACAACTTCACATTTTATGTGTAAATGCCCCTTAATAAAGATTCTCTACTTTGCCAAGTTTTAAAATGAGACAGGAGTGTTTGAAGAAGTGGGACTGATTACGCATAATAATTTATTTTAAGTAATTAGCTGAAAACACTTCATTAGGGGTATACCTATAGATGTCCAACTAGCTGATAGAAGGGATGCACGCACCAAGTGCCTCTGGATCAGTTAGCTCACAAGCTCTGCTGGTGAAATGGACAAAGCTTGGAAAGGTCACACACCAGCTTCGTGCTTTTTCTTAAAATAGTCATTGCACTAGGATATTAAATGCAGAAAATTACATCGCTGCACAGACATGTCACTAAAAGCTGGGCAAAGCAAAAGCAACACAAATGCTTTTTGTGGTGGGGGTAACACATTGAACTAAGCAACTGCGGAGATGATTTTCCAAGGCACAAACAAGAGCTGGGAGGTAGCTGCCCAACTCACATTGATTCTCCATGGGAGTCAGGTGCCTGACCCCTCTTTGAGCCTTTGAAAGTTCCCTTACCCCCAATACCCAAATCCTACAGGATGGGTAAAACATGGGTACTAAAGTTGTGGCTACAACTGACTTGTTCATTTCCCGCCTTTGTGATTTTTAACTGTGCAGCAGTCACATTCCATCTGTGCACTTTATATTCATTAGACTGAAAACCACCATATAAAAACAAACAATTTCCCAGACATATGGAGCACCAAGAACCCGATCTCATCCTTGTATAGAAAAGTGGCAAGCCCAGGCTTTAAAGAGTCATGGCTACGTATGTACTGTGTTAGATCCAGGCAAAACGCATCAGCAAACCAGAGTTAAGTAATTAATAGTTACATGCCTGAGGAAAAGCAACTACCGTGTTCTCAAGTTTTCCCCTTATGTAATCGAAGCATATTTAGAATCTTAGCTCAACACAGCTTTTTGCCTCATCCAAATTTTTGCAAATGTTGTTTCAAAGTATTGGCTCTCAAACACTTGATCCAGTTTCCCTCAACCCCTCCAGAAAGATTTGGAGACCATGCTTATGAAAATGCAGCTGGCTTAGCTTTGAGAGAAGGTGTGTATATGTCGAAATTGGGCTTATAGTGGAAGGTTAGCTTCAACCGGACTATGGTGCATTTCCCTGTAGAGATCTCTTTAATGCAGAGAGCTCTGTGTGTGTGTGTGTGTCTCCTTCTCACATGAGCCTCCACTCTCCTACATCTCTATTCTATTGTTGCAGGAAGGAATGTCAGCCCTGCCAGGTCTGTTGAGTCTAGAGCCTTCTTGACCTTTTTGTGCCATATTTGCTATTAATCAAGCTCTCCTTGGGTGACAGTGTCCCCATGGGGGGACCCTTCAGGATAACTTTATTTTTCCCTGGGGTGCTGCGTTTGAATTAATTGTCTGACATTTGCACTTTGTCTGCATTGTTGCAAATGGGCAGTGGGAGCCACTGCATCCGCCACTGGACCTTCACTTTCTCGCCCAGGTCATTCAGGGATAACACAATGTGACCGAGGGAAATGGAGAGGAATGCAGGGCTCCCAGGGGACTGGAGGTGGAGGGAGGTGGGGGCAGGGAAGTGACAGAAAAGAGATGGGGTCTGTGGTGTTGGATATTCTCTTCGCCTGGTACCTACCAGAGATCAGCAGGGACCTGGCACTCCACACCTGGGCGGTTCTGTTCTGTCTCACATGGCAGGTGAGGGATTCCCAGGACTCCAGTTCTACGGTGTGGACGGAGAGGTGAGAGACTGTGCTGAATGTGCCGTCTTCCTCCCTGGAAACCCCGTAAGTGAAGGAGTCCAGGGCACTTCCATTCTCATTCGAAAACCAGATGGCATCTGCCGTGTCCTGGGAGAGGTCGTTCACCACACAAACCACTAGGGTCTTCCTCTCGCCGTTAATGACCATGGTAAGTGGGGGCGCCAAGGTAGGAAAAGGGGCTGCGGTGCTGCCTGGGGGGAGAACAGCCAGCCAGTTAGCAATGCACATGGCAGGTCTCAGCCACAAGGCCTCCCTGACCCTGGAGCCCCTTTGACTGGGAGCAGTGAGACTAAAACTGGTTTCAAACCTCTCAGGAAGGATTGCCTCGTGAGGCGAGTATCCCTGTTTGGCCAGCTATTAGTGCCCAATTGGGGGTTGGGTCCATGTCTGGCTGCCCCGGCCCCACTGCCATTTGTTGGAACAAAAACCCCAGGCCTCGCTGCTCCTTTGCAGGGTGTAGCTAATCACTTAACGGGTACACGCTGGCCACTCCTTTCCTCCCCTCCCACAGTACCTGCAGTCTTGGGCCTCTAGCTACACACTGCCTGCAGAACCCACCCGGCCCAGAATGTTTCTCCTGGGTGTTGGGGGTGTGTGTGTGCAGCCCACCCTGGGGAGCAGGCAAATGTTCTGCCAAGGAGGAGAGCGTGGAGCTGAGTGAAGCAGGAGGCACCTGCCCCAGGGGACAGGTATACTCACAGCTCAGAAGCTGAAGTACTGTGGTGGCCAGGAGCTGTCCAAGCAGCCATGAGGGCAGGTCCATGGTGAGAGGCTGCAACATCTGAGCCAGGCATGAACAGTGCAGCAGGCAGAGGGACCCCAGCCCATCTCTCAGCACCTTCCCTTCCCCTCCCCTCCGCTTTCCCTGCCCCTTTCTAACGGTCTTTCGCCAGCTGCCTAACCAGCTGCTGTGCACCCTGGCAAACAAACCCATGCACCTTTTAACCCTTTGCGTGCTCACACGGCTATAGGCAGAGAGAGCCTAGATCCACCCTAATGGCCCTGAGCCCAGCCCTGTGGGAGCACGAGCTGACCTGACTGGGTCCCCCCAACTGCAAAATCCCACAGGCAAAGGGGAGTACAGAGACCCCAATTTGCAGCTCCACTGGGCACAGCAGATGGCTCCCATGGAGATGCCCCAGCAGGTTTCCATGAGCCAAGGCAACAGCAAGGCCAGGGTCAGCCATTCCCTGCTCCTTGGAAGGTCTCAAACACACACCTGCTGGGCCTGAGCCGCACACCACATCACACTGGATTTGCCTGGTGCAAAGGGGGCCGGCTGCAGGGATCAGGCCCAGAGAGCATGGGGCTGAGGGGAGGAGTGCCCCCAACGCTGGCATGCGAGTGTGGCATTGGGGAGGGGGCATGCACAGGTAGCCCCAGTGGTATAGTGGTAACCAAAGAACTGGGTCAGCTAATCTAACCTAAATGCTATAAACTGGGTAAACTCTATTTCCCCTTGCCTGCACTGCTGGGCGGCCAGTGCCTACAGCCTGGAGTCTATGACTCCTGCCGGCCCCTCCAAGCAGCCAGGAGGTGAGTACCCCCTGCTGACATGGGTCCTGAGGGAGACTCTGGCCCAGGGCTGGGGGGCAGGGGGGAGCAGGGAGGGAGGGAGGCGAGAACAGGACAGGAGAGCCACTCGCTGTTCTTACCCAGTACCCGGCTAAGGGGAGGGGAACATGACAAACGGCCATGCAGTGTGCCACAGGGTCCCACGGATGGTGCTGGATGGTTTGGCATGGTGTGTGCCTGGGCAGGGGGGTCAGTGATGGGAGCAAGCAGGAGCTGCACCAGTGGCTGTGAATCCAGGGTGCAGACTAAGGTCACTCCTGGGTGGGGGAGTCACTGCAAGGCGCCCTCTCGGGAGGGTGTTGTGCGTGGGGGTGTGTTTGTGTGTCACTGTGAGGCTCTCTCCAGGGCTCACGGTGTGTGTGGGGGGAATTGCTGTGAGGTTCCCTTGCAGCTAGTGGGGTGTGTAGGGGAGAGTTGCTGCCATGATGTGTATGTGGGGCAATCACTGGGGCACACCAGAGGCCAAGGTGCGGGACGTGTGGGAAGGAGCCCATTTGCTCCAGGGTCTGTATGGTAGCTGAGTGCAGTGCTATGGCCCGTGCAGTGTAGGGGGGAATTAGGGGCAGTGCCACAGCCTGTGCAGTGCAGGGGGGAGCTGGGGGCAGTGCCACAGCCCGTGCAGTGCAGGGGGGAGCGCTGGGGGCAGTGCCAGAGCCCGTGCAGTACAGGGGGTAGCCGAGGGCAGTGCCACGGCCCGTGCATGCAGGCGGGGGGTAGCCGAAGGCAGTGCCACGGCCCATGCAGTGCAGGGGGTAGCCGAGGGCAGTGCCACGGCCCATGCATGCTGGCGGGGGGTAGCCGAGGGCAGTGCCGGGGGATAACAGAGGGCAGTGACAGCACGTGCAGTGAAGGGGGTAGCCGAGGGCAGTGCCACGCCCCGTGCAGTGCATTGGTCACAGCCTACGGGCCAATGTCACTGCAGCCCGAACTGCACGGAGCCAGGAGAGCAGCGCAGCTCCTGGTACATTCCACACACACCCCCGCCCCGGCTAAAGTGGTACCTCCCATCCCCCCCATCTGGCTGGAGTGGTACCGGCCACTCCCCCTCCCCGCTGCCGGGCGGGGCCCGATCCTGCCCCTCGCCGCCCATGGAGCCCGGCGCGGAGCCGCGGAGCCAGGCGGGCCCGGCCCCGGCCCCAGCGCCCCCGGCCTCCTTCTCCGAGATCCTCCGCCTGGTGCGGAGCGGCCAGGACGTGCCCGGCCTCCACAGGCCCAACGTCACGGCGAGCCTGGCGAGCCCCACCCCCTCGCGCCTGGCCCGCAGGCCCAAGCCCTGGGAGCGGGCCCGCCCGCCCGAGCCCCCGCAGCGCTGACGCGAGCTCTCCGGCCCCCCGCTCTGCGCCCGGCCCCGGGAACCGCGCCTGGCCGGGCTCGAGCTGCAGGGGGGCGAGCTCGGGCACGCGGACTCCGGCGGGCGTTACAGGGCCGCATGGGACCGGCCTGCAACCGGCAGTCCCCCCTTGCTGGGCGCAGCTGAAGGACCTGGAGAGGCGTGTGCCCAGCTGTGCTGTGGAAGCCTCTCTCTAGCCCCTGGGCTCAGATTCATCACCGCGCCGTCCAGCGCCCATCCTGAGACCGGGCCGCTCCGTCCGACACGCCCGGCGCCCCGTCCAGAGACCGGGCCGCTCCGTCCGACACGCCCGGCGCCCCATCCTGACACCCGTCCGCTCCGTCCGACACGTCCAGCGCCCGGTCCTGAGACCCAGCCGCTCCGTCCGACACGTCCGGCGCCCGGTCCTGAGACCCGGCCGC